TTATAACCAAAAAGCTTTACAAATTTAAAATTGCTGGAAAATATTACATCTTCATGTAAGGTCCCCCTTCATTGGAAAACCTCCATTTTTAGCCACAGGCTCATATAAATTTGACTTTTTAATAATTATGATAAGTCTGATAAATCAAATGAGTACTGTATTGCTTTTAATACATAATATATTATATATTAAGGCATTTCAAAAGTATTTTTTTGCAATATTTTAATTTTTTAAGCCCCAAATGTTGATAGTTGAAAATTTTCAATTTTAACGTCTAAATTTAACACGCAAAGTTGAATATAGAATTAGTCATATTGTCTATAATATAAATCCTATTGCCATGAAACTTTGTAAGCAGTCTTATAATGTAATAAGCTTTGGTCATACCAAGTTTCATTAAGATTGGTCAACTTTTTCTACCCTATTAGGTCCGGGTACACAGTTATCGTCCTTTGATTTTCGTTGTCCACGAATATAGTCCCAGTGTGGACAGTGTGTTACTTGTCGATTTTTTTTCTACCCCTTCCAAATTTATTTCTCCCTGTTTTATGACTCAAATAGTAAGTAGGGGGGTGAAATGACACTGTAAAAAAAATTTGGGTCATGAATTTTAAAGTAAAGTAGTGATTTGGTCCAGCTGAAAAAGGTTAAAAATTAGCACTTCGGAAGCTGTCAAAAGATTTCAAGACCCCCTCAACATAAAATTGTCCATATTTTGAGTTAGAGCCGATGAAGTTTTCTATAATTTTGATATAATTTGTCCCAAAAGTAGTACAACACACTGTAAAAATATTATTGAGAAAGCGCAGGTGGGATTTTTTTAATTTTCATTTATTGTCTAAAAGAAATGCACTACGAAATAACTGTGTACTCGGACCTAAGATAGAGCGAATTATTGGACTTGGCAAAACATACAAAATTCTAATAAATCCTATGAATGGAACTGAAACAAAACTTTCATCTGAAATAACATTTAGTTGTTTTATGTTGTGTAATTTTAGAACTTGTATTGTGCCAAAGGATGCATAAATAAAAGTGACGCAATGAATTTTGTTCTGATATATATATATTTACAATTACATGCACATGTAAATTGTAATGCATATAAAAATAAGCATAATAAGGAGATGTGGTATGATATTCAGTGAGTTTATCAAACTAAAGTGCATAAGAAATGGGTTTAAGCAGTTACAGGTGTTACTGTCACCGTACAATCTCCAACAATGAGAAAAACTCGTACCCTGTAAAAAATTTCAGAGATCTTACAAGGAAGTTTTGTTGTCTCACCTTGACTTTGGTGAATTTTTTATATCTGTTGATGTAAATATAAAAAAGAAGATGTGGTATGATTGCCAATGAGACAACTCTCCACAAGAGACCAAATGACACAGAAATTAACAGCTATAGGTCACAGTTTGGCCTTCAACAATGAGCAAAGCCCATACTGCACAGTCAGCTATAAAAGGCCCCGAAATGACAATGTAAAACAATTCAAACAAGAAAACTAACGGCCTATTTTATGTAAAATAAATGAACAAATATAACAAATATGCAACACATAAACAAACGACAACCACTGAATTACACTTTTACAGGCTCCTGACGGGACAGGCACATACATGTACATACAGAATGTGGCGGGCTTAAACATGTTAGCGGGATCCCAACCCTCCCCCTAACCTGGGACAGTGGTGTAACATTACAATATAAGAAAGAACTATAAAAATCAGTTGAAAGAGGCTAAACTCATCAGATGGATAAATACAAATACAAGTGGACGTGGTCGGGTAGTTGTACATCCAAACAACAAAAAGACACTAAGTACAGATCTGAGAGTACTCACAGTTACTGACAGCTAGTTCAAAGCCACTAACAACTGATAAAAAAATCTTGCATCTAAGACTAAATTATCAATCCGTAAGCTCCCTTTAGAATTTTATAAATTTTAGATTTTACATTTCTGAGTTATGGGGTTTTATTCATTAAAAAAGGGGGGATTTTCCAGTTTTTGGACAACAACTCAAAAATGCTTTAAGCAGTTCACATGAAACTTTGGTGAATTATTTATAGCTATTGATGTAATCTCCCTATTGATTTTCATAAATTTCAAATATGACATTGAGAAGAAATTGAACTTTATTTGTTTATAGTCTGGCAACAGATTTATTAAGTATTGCGCAACAGCACAGTGTATTGCACAACAGCAAGAAATCTTTAATTGAATATAAATTCAATTCATATACCCGATTTCAAGTTCATTGACTACATTTATTCAGAAACTATAATATGTCAAATATTTAATTACAATCCAAATTCAAGCTTGAATATTGTGTTCATTTTTGCCCCAGCTGTTCAGGGTTGGACCTCTGCGGGTGTATCCAGCTGCGCTCAGCGAATCAGTTTATTTCTTAATTAAGAACTCCTTTTTTCATTCATAAATTACTTTATGCTTGGAAATATAATTTTGCTTGGAGTTGAAAGAGTTGACATGTTGCAATGTACATTTACTCTACATAGTTCTATGGTACCAAATCAAAAGTTTATATAAAAGAAAGAAGTCAAAGGTTTCCCATCATAGTTTAGTTACATACATTTTTTTTGTACCCGAGGTCGTTGTATATAGATCATTATATAAATAAGGAGATGTGTTATGATTGCCAATGAAAAAACTAAGGATTTTCTTATCCAAGGAATAGATTACCTTAGCCGTATTTGGCACAACTTTTTGGAATTTTGGGTCCTCAATGCTCTTCAACTTTGTACTTGTTTGGCTTTGTTACTATTTTGATCTGATGAGTCTTATGTAGACGAAACAAACGTCTGGCGTATTAAATTATAATCCTGGTACCTTTGATAACTAATTTGACTATACACATAGATAAAAAAGGTACAAACTGGACATAATGCACTAGTTCATAAACAAGTGAGAACAATCGCCTTTATATAGTGCTCAGAATATGACATTCATAAAACTTGTTCAATATCATTAGAGAACTCTAAATCTTAAATACTGAAAGCCACCTCTGATAAGTACACTGTACTATGCAAGATAATGATATAACTGGACTAATAATACACACAACCTGTTATTAACTGCCTTTACAGCGCTTTCGCGCTTTGATTAAAAATTGAAAACAGGAATATTTTTTTTAGGAGTTTTTCATAAAGTCAAATAATTTGTATTAGAACTTTTTCGTCAAATTAATTAAAAATTGTGAAATAACTGTCAAGACAAGACAATGAATTATATAAAGCCATCAACCACACGTTTTCACAATCTGATAATATTCAGATCTTTTACTATGCTCTGTAAGATTTGTTTGTTGCATGGGAAAGATCTAAAAACTTCCCATAAGGGGTCATGTTTAGATGACCTTGCATGCAAATTTTGATCAACCAATCATGTTAAGTGAAAAACTTGCACTTTGATTACAAAGTTTTACAATTATATTGATAAAATGTTTTATCGATTTACCATTAATAATATATATGATGATTATGTTCATAATTGAGCTTTCTTTAATAAAATATTTCGTATTTCGTATTTCGTATTAAAAGAAATATTAATGTAACAATGAATATTTACTGCTTTGCTAAGTTGAGAAGTGGTTACAATTAGGTCTGTGCATAAAATCAGACGGATATCTGAAAATTGAACGGTTAAAATATACAATTTCCAGAATATATATGGAAATATTTTGTAGTTTACTTGACAATAATTTTAGTATTTCATAGGAAAAAAATACTGAAACTTTTGAAGGGAAAGAATTTGATTGAATGGTAATTATGAAAGGTCACTGAACATGATTCCTTGAACATAGGATATTTTCAGATCTTTCGTTAACAACAAACAAAACTAGTGGAGCATAGTGATTTTAATAAGACTGAGGTTTTGAACTCCTCAATGAAAAAAGGTAAATGAGGAAATAACAAAATTAAACAATTTGATCAGGTGACTTATATTGAGTTTGATAATACATGTACACAAATTAAAGAAATATCAGGAATCAATATAAAATGCAAAATAATTGAACAATTTTATTTAGTTACTTTTATTGTTAGGAAGCAATAAAGTACCACTGAAATAGCTATATTTTTGTCGAGCCTTCGACTTTTGTCGAAAAAGCGAGACATAGCAATCCTACATTCCGTCGTTGTCGGAGGCGGCGGCGTCCACAAATATTCACTCTGTGGTTAAAGTTTTTGAAATTTTAATAACTTTCTTAAACTATCCTGGATTTCTACCAAACATGGACAGAAGCTTGTTTATGATCATGAGATAGTATCCAGAAGTAAATTTTGTAAAAAAAAAATTCTTGTTTTTCCGTATTTTACTTATAAATGGACTTAGTTTTTCTGCCAGGAAACATTACATTCACTCTGTTGTTAAAGTTTTTAAAATTTTATTAACTTTCTCAAACTATCCTGGATTTCTACCAAACTTGGACAGAAGCTTGTTTATGATCATAAGATAGTATCCAGAAGTAAATTTAAAAAAAAAAAAATCCTGTTTTTCCGTATTTTACTTATAAATGGACTTAGTTTTTCTGCCAGGAAACATTACATTCAGTCTGTGGTTAAATGTTTTAAAATTTTAATAACTTTCTTAAACTATCCTGGATTTGTACCAAACATGGACAGAAGTCTGTTTATGATCAAAAGCTAGTATCTAGAAGGAATTTTTTATTAAAATTTTGTACTTGTTTATCCATATTTTACTTATAAATGGACTTTTTTCTTCCAGCTAACATTACATACAGTCTGCAGTTAAATTTTTTAAAACATTTATTAGATTCATAAACTATCCTGGATTTTTACCAAACTTGGACAGAAGCTTCTTACAATAAAAAAATTGTATCGAGAGGAATATTTTTATTAAATTTTTTCCTCATCTCATTTTTGTTGAGCCTGCGATTAACAGCAAAAGTAGGCGAGACACTGGGTTCCGCGGAACCCTTACAAATTTTTTATTGAAAAATAATTTTGATTTTCTTTTTCAGGATCTGACATCTGCTTTAACAAGAAAGATAACCTTGAAGGCTCCATTAGTGTCATCGCCTATGGATACAGTCACAGAGGCCCAGATGGCAATAGGAATGGCTGTATGTGGTCCTCATACATAATTTAACAATCATCATTACCAATTATATAGACATTGTACCTTGGGAAATGCAATATAGTTTCATAGTATCATTTCCATCTATATTTGATTTTCAATATGCAATTGATTATCTTACTCCTGCTAGTAGATAATTAAGGTAGTATTAAAGCATCAACTTTGATATGACATATTGATTTTCTCCATCACAGTCACATTGATTATTGTGATTGTATGTTGTATCCAAAATATAACAGACATTTTGATTTATTAAAAGTATGTACTGTGTATTCATTACTATTCATGGGGTACCAATTTTTCGTGGATTTCGTGGTTAAAGGTAACTCACAACAAAGTATCAATTTTCTGTAGACTTGTATACAGACAAAGGCAAACACATGAAATAAAATCTCATGAATGCTAGATTTTTCCTCAATCCACAAAAAATCGGTACCCACAAAAATAAATGAATCCTTAGTAGGTTTAACTTGATTATATGGGGCATTAGTGGCTGAATTGGTTAATTGGTGAATTGGTATCTGCCTATCAAATAAGACTTTTGGGTCAAAAAGTTTGAAATAAACAAAAAAAGACCCACATGCCTGTAATTTTAATTGCTTTTATATCTTTTGTGACCAATTTCAAGACCTTTTGGTCATTAGACCTTAATCAGTTTAAAAATTTCCTGTTCACTCTACTGGTACATGGTAGATGTTGTGTCATTAGCCTCATCAAAATGAATAAATTGTTGTCTGATCTGAATCTTTGAAATAACTCCTGTTAATAATTAGGGACCAATAGGGGCAGTGCAGGTTGAGTACAGTAGTATAAGTGTCTGGTTTACATTGACATGCAAACATCAGTTGAGCCAATAATTGCTATGGTAGGTTCTAGAGTCTCACAAGTTCATAGTTTTATCAGTAGAAGTAAGAGATTTACACCTGTTCATCTACAACTCTATGAGTTAAACTGTACAATTAAACAGATGTATAGAAACAGTAAAACATACCATTTTACTAACAAAATTATTTTTTATTACAAGTCTTTTCAACTGTTTGAAGTTTTGATACAAACATGGATACAAATATTTGTTAAAAGGACACATAATTCAGTTTTGGAGGTTTTTTAAAAAAAAATTGGCAATTTAAATGTTTTGATAAAGTAGATCATACTTTTTTATGTAATGTTAAATTTATTTGTACACATGAAATGATTGATGTAGGAATACACCTTTCACTTACATTTTTTTTTTATAATTTTCATCAAAATTGTTTTGTAGTTATGTGGAGGTGTTGGAGTCATTCATCATAATTGTTCACCAGAATTTCAAGCCAACGAAGTACGCAAAGTAAAAGTAAGTATACATTTGTATTTTGGGTGCTCATTCCTCTTCAACTTCGTTCTTTATTTGGCTTTTAACTTTTTTAATTCGAGGATCATTGAAGAGTCTTTTGTAGACAAAACACGTGCTTGGCGTACAAATTTTAATCCAAGTATCTATGATGAGTTTATTGTTACATAAAACACATACAAGTTTATATTACCTTTTTAAATAAATTCGTATTACCGAAGCCAATGAGTTAACTTTATTTGTTTGAATTTCAATTGTACAAACAACAACAAAATTGGTACTATTCAAAACATTAAAAGCAAGTCATGGCATAAACATCCATAGTTCATGTCCAGGGTACTTGAAGAAATATTGAATTAAGATGTCAGTATACATGCTTTCTTGAATAACTGACATTTGTTCAAGTTCAATTAATGTTCATATCTTGAGGCCAATAAGATAGAGCATCTACTTTTGCATGTTGACGTGCTATAGGAGCTATCGTGTGTTATCAGTTTTATATCTCTTAAAGATATTAATTTGAAATAATTTGTTTTCATAAAAATAATTGAAAGGCAGGAAAAAACCATTTTCCTTCTTCCTAATATCTGAAGAACTTTTAAAAAAGAATTTAGTGTTACAATCGTTTCTTTATCTATGTAATTTTGTTTTTACGGCTTTAAACATGGAGGTACTGTATATTTAGTTGATATTCACCACTAGCTGGTTTCAATGTATATGTATTTCAAAATCAGGGGGTTTTCTGGGTATTTTGGAAAAAGGGCCCTGGGCAGTTTTGGGAATTTTTTTTCGAGATTTTTAATGAAATTGGGAAAACAACATATATACTAGGCATTGGGAAGGGGTCCGAATACAGGACATTGTGGAATGCTAGAAAAATCCATGAAAATATAACAATTTTAAAGTCATGTATCTACTTGACTTTCACGAATAGTAAGAAACAGCAGTAGGCAGCTTCAGTTTAAGACATGCACTTGAATATTTCTGTTGTCAGCTGAATACCTGCTGAATGTAAATTTACATTATTATCTCCCTTTACCCATATCTTTTCTATAACAACTGCAATTGAAAAATCATGACATAAATTTGTTCAAGTAAAGTTTGAAATAACATATATTCCTCAATTTTAAAGATCAAATTAAAAAAGATTTCATGTAAAAGAATATTGAATAGGAAGTAAACTATGTTATTTGATTGAAAATCACAATAAGCAGTACAATATTTTAGAGCATTTAAATCTGACAGATCAAAACTAACTTTACTATCTTATTCTATAAGATAAAAAGAGTCTATTATCTCTCTTATTGATAATTGTATGATAAATGACTAATGCTAACCGTATCTCACTATATAGATGTCACATAGAATAGATATTGATAGCTAATTAATCACAATAAAAATTAGCATATTTTAAACAGCATCACAATCTATATATCATGTACAAAAATGTATGAATAGTTTTGAGCATATGGGTATGGATATATCTCACTAATTAATTACCATAGCTACAAAATTGACAACAGGATAGAATTTGAAAAAAAAAAAACATCCACCTCAGCATTGAAATTTCAGTTCACAGATCTAGACTGGATATGTCCATTTGTATATAGTTGGTATGGATGGTACACATACAGTCCAAATACAGAAATATTTTGGATGTTTTAATTTTTGGGAAAACTGTGACAGGATAGGTTTGGCAAAAATAAAAGCTTCCATTTTGAAATTTTGATAGCTTTATATGTTTGATGCATTTCATTTGGTCCATTGTATATCATTTGCAATAATAGACTTAATGATTGTAATTGATTGTAATTGAATCTTGTTTTACCTACAGAAATATGAACAAGGTTTTATCCTGGATCCAGTTGTCATGGCACCAAGTCATACAGTGGCTGATGTAGTAGAAGCTAAAAAAAGATTTGGGTTTTCCGGCATTCCAATTACAGAAAATGGTCACATGGGTGAAAAGTTAATTGGTCTTGTTACTCAGAGAGATATTGATTTCTTAACCAAAGATGATAATAATATACCTTTAGAAAATGTAAGTTGTGGTTTTATAGGGTCAATTTATTATCATTGTTGTTCCATTTGATAATGATACAAGGAAGATAATTAGCTACTTTGGTTGACCCAGTGTTTGTATCAAAGTCTCATCATAACTTTGTGCTGATTTCAAAAATATATCATGTTTTTATGTATTTTTCTATGAAATATTTGAGATAATAAGCTACTTCAGGATTCAATTCCTGGTATCATATGAATGCTTACAATACACAGATTACGAAAATATTTGGTTTCTATGTTAAAATTGTATATATATATCATATTCACACATGGCACTCTCTTAGACCCCAACCACCCACAATATAAAATTTTCATTTTAAAATACTGATGATATTTACTTAATTCTAAGGAAAATGCAACCACCACAAATTGAAGTGCTTTCTTTTCTCCACCCCAAGTACCACGATCAATTTTTGAACAGCCTTTAGTCTTCCATGTGTCATTATTTTTATATGAGTTCATATGAAAATAATTAAGTATTACATTCTGCATTTTTCTAGAAAAAATACTGTCTTTACAGTAATGGGTGTTCCCTTCTATGTTATTGGTGTTCTTTATTCTGGTTAGTTTGTTTGTTAAAAAAGTACAAGTTCATATGCGTTGGGCTATATTATCAGTACATGGTAATCTTCTAGTGGGAACAAGTTCTGAAATAAATTTTTAAGTGTCCACTACTGTACTGAAACTATATAGACACACAAGCCAATGGGATTTTTACTGTCCTTATGCATCAATGACTGAAAGCCAGAGTCATAAAACACCTGATGGTAAATATCACATCTATCATAGCTACATGGCATGCTGTATTAAAAGAAAATTCATCAAAATTCGAATATTCTTTGATGATGGTGCTGAATACTTTAAAGTATTAATTGATAATGTTTGTCATCGACTTCCATCCTTAACCCTTATTTTAAAGAGTTCTTAATGAAGGTATAAAGCAAACTGTCATTAAATTGGATAAAATTCTTTTAAAATTGCATGTCAGAATTTAATCAATTATATCTGATCATGTGCAAAGTAATTTCTTTGCAAGAGAGTTCATTATTTTATATGATAAAACTTTTAGGGTAAAATATTGAATAAAAGAAAAAGTGCATAATATGTGTCATTTGAAATTCTTAACCTTGAGGACTAATATTTTTCTGAAAAGTGACCCAGTTCTCAAGTTTACTGTTAAATTTGCATTTTTACACCAGAATTGAAGTGTAGGTTTTAATGAAAAAGCTCCAGAACTTTTAATTGTTTGAATAATAAATAAAAAAAGGCTTGTTCAGAGAGTTTATGTATTTTTATACATAAATTGGAAATTTTTTTTTTCATTAGATAACTGATTCCCAACATTAATATTTTATTTACTATATTTGCAAAGAAAATTTTTTTGCTTAATTTGTGAAGTACCTCGGAAGGGCGGGCATGGGGATTCAACTATTCTGAGCAATAACTTTAGAACTGTTCAACATTTGCTTTTCAAATTTTAATGTTTTTACTGATGAAAAAATTGAGGTTAAGTTTGATGTTGATGATATTTACTCATCCTATCCGGAGTTATTGTTCTTTATTGATTTGAAAATGGCACTTTTGTTACTTTTATATGTTATATATCAGAAATATATTGATCACCTAAAAGTAAATATATATCAACTAGTAATCTGTTATTTATGGCAGGTAATGACAACATATGAAGATTTAGTGGTAGCTCATTGTGGTGTTACATTAAAGGAAGCTAATTCAATATTACAGAAAAGTAAAAAGGGTAAGTATAACAAATATTTAGATCCTGGTTGAAAAGATAAACTTAATCATTGGCCTTCTGGGGGCCTAGATGGCGAGTTGTCTAAGTAGTCAAACTGGCTGTAACAAAATAGCACATTATTCCTGAAAGTGGCATTAAACACCAATCAATCAATTAATCAATCAATCATTGGCCAGCCTGGTTTATCTACTTGCATCATTATTAATGACACATAAACTGTGGAGTGTGGTATGTTGGGATTGTGGTAAAATTAGTTCAGTGAGTACTCATGCCTCCCCTTTTATCGTGATTAGTGGAATAACAAATTGAACATTGAAAAAAATATTCAGTGCAGTAAAGGTACTTAACTCAATAATATCAGTATTAAAGACAAAGCAACACAGAGGTAAAAAAATAAAAAATACTGCTGCATACTTTTGAAAATGAAAATGCAGGTCATGACCTGCATTGGGGAAGAAAATGTCAGGTCATAACATGTACAAACTTTTTTGGTTGAATTTTAGTATTTAGAGGGTTTTTTTTATAATATATGCTATAACATGTACCAGTTTCCTACAAATATTCACTATTGTATTTGTTAATTATATAAATATTTATCATTAATTAAATATCTTTCTAAAGCAATGCCCTATAATTGTTTTATTCACGCTACTTTTTATAAATGAATTCCATAAACCTCAGCTATAAATAGAAATCAGTTATGGCTATTGTGCTCCTTTATACAGGAGGAAGGTAAGTAAGTGTGTTTACTTCCAGTGCAATATCTAGAGCATATGGATTTGATTTAAAGCTTTTACATTTAGGTGATTACAAAATTGAATGGTTTGCAATAGTTTAAAAGGGACTTGTATCTCTCCAACAGATATGTATTAAGAGGTTCAAATTGTTTTAAAAGGATAATTGATATTTGCAAACGGCAAATCTATAATCAGGGCATAGAATTGTAGGTCAAGCTTGAGTGGCTTCAACTTTCTGGGGGGTACAATTAATAAGATAATTAGCAAATTGTTACTTTTCAATCAAAGGAGTATCCAAATATGTTTTGATAGCTGTATTCATCCAATTAGGAGAGAGGTAAATAAGCATATCCGAAGTTTTGACCTTTCAGTTGTTTTCTTTTTCAAAGGAAAAAAGCTTCACTCCTAAATACCGGAAACAATACTGGTCAGAAATATGGGTGAAAACGGGTCTTTTTCTGAATTCCTGGATTATTTGATCACCTATCGGGTATTTAAAAAATCCCAGGTGGGAGGGGAAATTCATGGATGTGACCTGCAAAAAACGTGTCAGTTGACAGGTATGCTACTGTTTCAAAAAATGCTGGCATTAACTGAAAGCTACTTCACAGTACCTCATCTACAGTTAGGGAAAAAAGGTCCCTTACACCAAAATTTCAGCAGCTGTACTTCCAAGAAGATTTCATACTGAAATATAAAGAACTACAGAAAAATGTGATCTTTTAACACTCAACACTAATAAGCAACAAAAAGCAAGACTATGTTGTCATTATTTTATTTTTTGTTGGCAGTGTAAGCATTTTTTGCTTTTTATATTTTAGGTAAATTACCAATTGTAAATGACAAAGGAGAATTAGTATCATTAATAGCAAGAACAGACACTAAAAAGAACAGAGAATTCCCATTGGCATCAAAAGATGAAAGGTAAGTGTAGAATTGGTTATTGGAGTAAAACACGAATGAAACTGGAAAAATCACAAAAACTTTTATGGAAAATATAAGTTTAAGATTCAACATTAATGATGCTCTGAATCTAATTGGTTTGTCAAAATTTCACCATTTTCCAGCACCATCAAATTTGCCTAAAAGATTAGTTTGGACTATCAATGAGTCCTTTCCAGCAATATAAGGACAATCAGTAAGTTCCAGCAATATAAAATTGACTAATCGTGACTAGCAAAGAATCAGTTTAAGTCATTTCAAGTCCATAAATGATTGATTTATTGATCGTTGTTTGCTAAATTCTACATGTATATTGCAGAATTATTTATGAATAGAAAGGATATTGACTAAAAATCAATAAGGCAGCAACCCAGCAATAGTCAAAACATATCTTTAACTCTACAGAGTCTTCAACAATAGACAGGCTTGTCGAGCTATAAATATCTCAAGAGTCTTAAGAAGTTGAAATTTACCAAATTAATTAAATTTCACTATTTTAAAGTATGAATTTTGAGGATAAAATGTTGTTAAGAGGGTGGCAATCAGGAGAAACTCTTGATAGGTTATACAAGGGATTTTATCAACACTAGAAAGACAAGTTAATGTTGGAATATGTTTCATTATAAATAATCTGGGAATTGTCCTCCTCTTGCTTTTTTATTAAAACTAATTTATTTTTCTATTAAGTGCTTTGTGTTTTTTTTTAAGGAAACAGTTGTTAGTAGGAGCAGCAATCAGTACACATGAGGAAGATAGGAAAAGATTAGATGCTTTGGTGGCAGCTGGTGTAGATTTTGTTGTATTGGTGAGAAAATATTACATGCTTGGCTGCATTCACACTTATTATAAATGTCACTATTTCATAGTGAAAAAGTCATGCACTGTTTTGCAATATTACCACAAATTGATTAAGATAAGAAATTAAATTATGATTCAATCACAGTATTTTATGATTCATTTCAACCTGAAACATGCTACACAAAAGTAGCTTTAAGGAATCTATACACTGCAGTTATATTAACAGTATTTACTTTAGAATTAGGCCTGGTTAAAATGATTGTTTTAAAATGTCAAGAAAGTTACCAAACATGCTACAAATTTTGTTTGTAAATTCATCAATGAGGGGAAAGATATTTAGTAATAAGACTATTCAGAAAGGGAATACAACTTTTAGTCCAGCTAAAGATATTTACATGTATGAGAAAGAGCTCTATGTCTTTGATATCACAAAAAAATGTTTTGCATGAAAATTGAGATGACATCAGTGATTGCCTTAAGATAATTAGGGCTGTTCCAGAGATGCTTGTGTTGGGGACGGAGTTGGGAGGCAAATTGAAATAAATATTGTTTAGTGTTTGTATATTTCCTAGAAATCTGGAAAATTATATCTTATTTTGAAAATATAATATTGTTGTGTGTGGGATTGGGAAAAAAGTGCCTCCTGACCCATTCACAAATTTAATTATTGAATAGCCTTAAGTTTTTGGTATTATTTTTTTTATAAATCTAGTTTGCTATGAAATTCTCTTTTAACAATGAATTCAATTATTACAGGTAAAAGTCTACAAATATATCAGCATATGTTATTAAATTATCAGTTGTAAATATTTCATAACTAACAACAAAACCACTTGAAAGCAATCACCACAAAGGTTTTTTCTGTTACAATTTAGAAAGTATACTGTAAGTAAGACATTTTATGACTAAATTTGATTCGTTTCTCTGGTACTTATTGAATAATCTTTCTTTAATTGTAGGATTCGTCACAGGGCAATTCCATTTACCAAATAGAGTTCATTAAACATGCGAAAAATTTATATCCAGAGTTACAAGTAATTGGCGGTAATGGTATGATCTTATTTTCTCTGTTTTCCTACCACTTCATTGGGGAAAACAAGCATCTCTTCATTTCATTCTTTACTTATTAAAAGAAAGATGATTTTCTTTAATTAATACACATACTTAGTAAAATTTGATATGTTCATTTACCAATTTGAATTATATATCTGAAAGGTTTGCATTTTTTTTGTTATGAAAACAGGACAATTTTCTGTTTTAAATATTCTATTCTATATTTTTTGTGTGTATTTTCTGTGTAATTGTCCAATTTAAATACACTGACATTCTTTTTGGTAAAATTTGTCAATAGATATATGTAAATAGAAATTTGTATATCATAGAATATTGCACAATAGAAAATATGTATATCATAGAATATTGCACAATAGAAAATATTTATATCATAGAATATTGCACAATAGAAAATATATCTTAGAACATTTTCAGCATATAAAACTTATCCCACTGTGAAATAGAAAATAAAGAAATCATGAGATATCATAAATTGTTTCTAATCTTGTGTATTTATGAAGATTTAGAAAAATGACTCTCTCATATTTTTCACGCTGCATCAAACAATATAATATTCAAGATAGTGTAAATTTTAATGCTGGTTATGGTTAAATTAGTATTATGCTTTGCAAAAAAGGGAGAAAGGACCAAAGGGGCGGTGAAAAACCATCAGTTGAAAAAAGGCATGATATGACCAAAGAAAAAGATGAAATGGCAAACAATACACTTTTTCAATGTTCTGCCCGTAGTAAATTTCACAAAATTCTTTTCTGTATCACATATTCAGTCTTTCTTGAAAAAAAAATTTCTAGGGGGATTTTTGCGATAACTCATAAATGCATGGCATTTTTTATACTTAAAAAAAAAATTTCCTAAAATTTTCCTTTTAGAACAAGTAGTCCATAAAAAATTCCAGGAGTATGCCAATGTTTTGATTTTTTTCCCTATATGGCTTACAGGAAATCCATATCATTAAGATAAGCTAAAGCAAATAGATATGAATATAAAAGTAAGAAGATGTGGTATGGTTGCCAATGAGACAACTCTACACAAGAGACCAAATGACACAGAAATTAACAACTATAGGTCACCGTACTGCCTTCAACAATGAGTAAAACCCATACAACATAGTCAGCTATAAAAGGCCCCAAAATGACAAATGTAAAACAATTCAAATGAGAAAACTAACGGCCTGTTTAAGTACAAATAATGAACGAAAAACAAATATGATATACAGCAACAAACGTCAACCACTGAATTACAGGCTTCTGACTTGAAGTTCATTCAACATGTGTTCTATCAGTAAAGAAATTGTTTTTTTATGGTCCATTTTATTTTGAAAAAAATTCTTTGTTTTTAGTTGTAACTGCAGCACAAGCCAAGAATCTGATCGATGCTGGTGCCGATGGTTTAAGAATTGGTATGGGTAGTGGTTCCATCTGTATCACACAGGAAAGTAAGTTATTTATCATATAGAGATTGTTGGGGTAAAGATTGTATGAGATACAGTCAAAACCCTCAGGGTACTCACTAGATATCTATATCTTCCAAGATTTATCAATACCTATGATAATTCAAACCAAAAATTACAGTGAAGTGATCATTCTTTAGATCCTATCCAGTCAATGTCATTCAATTAACTAATGATATGTTATACTTAAATATTCAAGTTACAGTATGATGTATATTTGAATTACCATACTGTCAAGAAACTATTTTTTTTTTATTATTAAATTCACATAAGTAATGCATGGCATATAAATATGTTATAAAAATAGGTTCAACTACAAATGTACAATTATGAACAACGGAAGATAACTCCAACTCAAATTTCCTTTATAATTTGCCAAGCTATAAAAAACAATTCAATGTTTTATTTCAAATTCACAAAATTGCAAAATAAAAGCAATCTGTACTGTTCAGTGCTCACAAGTACTTTGATTTGAGTGCTTAGATCAAAATTACATTTAAGATTTGATGTTTCCTTTGAACCTTATACAGAGATCTCCTCTGTCCCTTTTTCAAAGGGCTGTTCCATTAAAGCATACATGGTACACAGGGAAGTCACTTCCAAATCTCAACTATGGATGGGTGATAAAGACTATTTTATACATTTAAAATGTAAGAGAGCCTCTATAGATAGTTACACACTTTGTCTAGGTCATAAGTATATTTTGAAGGAACAGCCATAAGTTGTTTGAATTTTTCTTATAGTGTTATTGTGAAAGGTATGTTATTGTTAGTTTTATTGACTTAATTGGGCTACATTTATTAAAAGAAGTTAGCACAGAAAAACTAGTAATAACCTTCTTCCTTTTGATATTTTAGTAATGGCTGTTGGAAGACCTCAAGGAACAGCAGTTTACAAAGTAGCAGAATATGCCAGGAGATTTGGGGTACCAGTAATAGCTGATGGAGGGATCCAGAGTGTTGGACATATCGTTAAAGCTTTATCATTAGGTGCCTCCACAGGTGGGTAACATTTATTATTTTGAATTTTCCAGTTGTATGCATAGTATTATTACAGGATTAAAAAAGATTCAGTTTGATTTTCTTTTCTGTTTTTATTTGTTTATTGACAAAAATTAGCCATTATCAGATAATATATTATCTAAAGAAAGAAAAAAATACTATAGTTCAATGATAATATTTCATACTTATGAATTTATATTCTTTGACAGGTTACAACATTCATTGTAATGGAAAGATAATTAAACAATGCCATGTACTTTATGTTGTAGTTATGATGGGATCATAATTAAGCAATGCCATGTTCTTTATGTTGTAGTTATGATGGGATCTATGTTAGCTGGTACAACAGAAGCACCTGGTGAATACTTCTTTGCTGATGGTGTTCGCCTGAAAAAATATAGAGGAATGGGATCATTAGATGCCATGGAGAAACATCGAAGTAGTCAAAGTCGGTATTTTAGGTTTGTATATATTCAATTCTTCTCATTATGAATAAAAGAACATGTATGTGTGGTATATGTCCATGAGAAACAAAATAATAAATATATCTAGATGTCAATACACATGTGTTAAGGAGTTAGTCTACACAATATGTCAAACTCATTCATGAGAAACAAAATAATAAATATGTCTAGACGTCAATACACATGTGTTAAGGAGTTAGTCTACACAATATGTCAAACTCATTCATGAGAAACAAAATAATAAATATGTCTAGACGTCAATACACATGTGTTAAGGAGTTAGTCTACACAATATGTCAAACTCATCCATGAGAAACAAAATGATAAATATGTCTAGACGTCAATACACATGTGTTAAGTAGTTAGTCTATACAATATGTCAAACCCAAAATCACCCAGAGTCTAGAAAGTTATGAAAATATTAAACTGGGAGGCATTGTTATTAAGATTTAATGGATGGCTGTGTTTTTTGACATATTTTAGAATCAATTATAGTTAGAAAAATATATTGGGGATGGCTGGGTTTATTAAAAAGTGCATTCCTTAAACACATATTTTATTCTAAAAAAGACGTAATTACTAATATGAAAATATGTAGAATGTAAAAAAAAACAAATTTTTAAGGATTGTAAACTTTAGCCCATTAATTAATTTTGTTTATGTTTATTTTGTAGTGAAAGTGACAAATTAAAGGTTGCCCAGGGTGTTTCTGGTTCTATTGTTGATAAAGGCTCAATACAGAAGTTTGTTCCTTATCTCATAGCTGGGATCAAACATGGCTGTCAGGATATTGGTGCTAGGACACTGTCTCATGTCAGGTAAGCATTAAATAAATATGGGGCCTCGTTGGCCATGCAGTCAAAGTAGTCCAACTACTGAATCACTAGCCTGTCAACACTGAAGTTGTGAGTTCAAACCCCATACGTGGAAGGTGTATTTGACTCCAATCTTAATTGATTAGGATTCTCAGTTTTCCTGCCGAAGGTAGGTGGTTCTTTCCAGGCATTTTGGCTTTCTCTAACCAATAAAAACTGACGGCCATGAAATAGCCAATGGGACTGAAAGTGGCGTTAAACACCAATCAATCATTTTATCGATCATTACCAATATCAAACAAAGTGAATATCTTCTCAAAGCTTATATCAAAAATGGTCATGTTGTGAGAACCTTTTGATCTCTTGTGTACACAAATTGCATAATGTTCAAGATTTATCTGCTTGCAAGATTTTAAGACATTTAAAACCATCTTTGTTAAGGCAGGGTTATAAAAGATTGCAATCTTGCAAACGTCTGCATCTTCAAGGGTCATTAGTTTGGTTGTACAATCTCATATACTCCCCAAACAGAGTACAATTAATTTAAAGTTATTTTTATAGAACACTGAGCTCATTGCAAGACATACCATAGGGTTTAATCTGTTTAAAGGCTGATATTTTTATTAGGAATATTATTAGAAATCTTGTTGATTTAAACAAAAGACCAACAATCATATCACACATACTTGCTTTGATATTTAATTTTAGTTGGCATAATTTGTCACATATTAGAGAGTTTATAGTTACTTTTAATAAAAGTTTTACTTCAATTGATTATTTTAGATCAATGATGTACTCAGGAGAGTTGAAGTTTGAAAGAAGAACAACATCAGCCCAAATAGAGGGTGGTGTGCATAGCCTACACAAGTATGTATATATATATATATACCCCACAGTAAAATGTAGTGGGGTTTATAGTTATTCACCGGTCCATCAGTCTTAAATTCTGGCTTCTAAATCAACTTCTTTCTCTCTGACTGCAACCTTACTTATATGATCCTATAAAGAGAGGAAGATCTGATTGATTTTAAGGTCACTATGTGTTAAGTCAATGCCATAATTACTAAAAAAGACTAAAAATTGGTCAGTTAAGTGGTTTCCAGATGTTAAATCAAATAATTTATATAGAACTCACGAGGTCTAAGGTCACGTTCACTATGCCAATATGTCACTATAAGCTCTTCCCCTTTATATGAGTTGTGTGGTATATATTCATCAAAAGTTTTTTAATTTCCTTTATTTTAAAATACTTTCTTCTGTTCTAGTGTTTATAATCCAATTCATGATCATAGGTTTCTTGTCTTTCTGATTTTCAGCAGGTTGAATTAAATAAATGATCTGACTAAAGTTCTTAAAAACCGTTCATGTCATGTTTAGCTGCCATGTCACAAAAATTCAAAATAACAATTGTGTCTCGATGTCTTTGTGAAATGGGACGCAGTATTAATATCATTTTCAGAGGTATTATCGTAGGCCAATAATTTTCTGTATAGTTGTTCATATGCATATATTAGTGATAAATATAGTATATTTCTAATCTAATTTCTATTTTGAATATTATGAAACCTATTTTGTATTGTTTGATACTGTTCTCAATACAGTGAAATCCTGCAGTTTTATTTATCTGTTAACTTCATGCATTTCATTTAGTTAAAGTTTAAAACACAGACTTATCTTATTGACAATAGAGATTTGTATCATACACAATCTTTGATAGTCTCAATATTCTAGACTTAGAACCTGACATATGTTATAGACACATGTTAATTGTAGAAGATCATATGTTGACCTCTAATGTCTTTTCTGTTGCTTTGTATTGTTGGGTTGTTGTTTCACTAACACATGCCACACATCTCTATAGTTACAAATAGCATACAGTTTATCTAAAGAACATATAAATAACAATACTTGAAACATATTAAGCATGGGTATACATACACAAACACAACTAACCGTCAACTCAAGTCTCTATCCTGGAATAGAAACATAGACATGTGTCAAAGTTACAACATAGCTCAACATATGATTATTAATGACAGTGATACAGTTTAGCAGGTCCCCAGAAGAAAGGGGCCCTTATTGTAGTTTTGGCTGATGAAAATTTCTATTCCACTCATTTGCTTTACTCCACAGTGATGGACTTACACAATTGATATGGTGGGCTACCAATTCAGCTCTACACAATTCCATCTGGCTAATTAAAAGCTTTACACAATTCCATCTGGCTAATTAAGCTTTACACAATTCCATCTGGCTAATTCAGGAAAACTGCTTATCAGTGTTTCTGAATAATTGTTATAAAAATAAGGAGACGGGGTATAGCTAATGAGACAACTATCCACCAGTTAAAATGATGTCAATGTATTCAATTTACATACTAAATGTCCATACTTAAAACATTAATGATTATTTATCAGTGTTATAAGAATATAAAAAGATTTATGATTTATTTAGAATTGTTAGAATATAAAGGTAAGGTGTGATAGGTGTGTTTTTTTTATCCCTGCTGCTAAAACCAGGACTCTTGTTTTAACCTTTGAGTGATTTTAATCCACTCGGACATGCTCATCTCTCCCAAGAAAAAAAATCCCATTTTTTCCAAGATAAAAAGTGACTTCTTCGTCAAATGGTCTTCGAAGGAGAGTTGTCTCATTGGCAATCATACTACATCTTCTTATTTTTATATTAATGATAAAATATATTAGGGGAGAATTTTGCTATTTAGATCATGCAAGACAAACAACTCAGGAAAGTTATTTGTACTTTAGTGCAAACGTAAAAGTGTTTTATGACAATTCAGGTAGAAAAAAATTATACAAAACTAAAATCTAGCTTTGAACCCCTGACTTTTTATATGGTTGCTATTTCAGAGGTTCATCAATGATTAATGTATAGGTTATAATCACCAACTTAAGCAAGTAAGCAAACATTTTGAAAAGTTCTTGTTGTTGATTGGTTGAAATTATAAAACCAGTATTCCCCCTTTTTGAAAATGAAATCTATAATGATTTGTTGTTTTCATTTGAAGATTTTTATTTTGACATTTCTTGAATATTACAAATAAAATTGGGAAGAACTCGCACATAGTAACAGTACTAACATTTATAATTAAAGATATTGCACAGAAATAGAAACATTCTTTTCAATATTAGTAAATTAATATAAATCATCATAATTCTGCTTATGAGAAATATTTCATTTGTTGAATATTGTATACATTACTAGTGATTGAAACAGGGAGCCATAAGAAGTTGTCAATGTCTAAAAGGGGGGGATTACTGCTTTTTGTCTCGCCTGTATTAAATGTTGCAAAATGCAAGGCATAAGAATGCTTATCATGGGTTGCAACAGAGTGACCTTTTTGTATGAAATTTTAATCATCCTAGAAGTAGAAAAGCTTGATAATCTATATCCAGGAACACAGGTCTTGTGATATTAAGTCTCCCAGTGGTATATATCTGTAGTCTTTGACCTCATTTTAATGGAGCAGTGACTGTAACAAATTTGTCTCACCTGCAATAAATGTTATAGATTTGAAAATAGGGATGTTCATCAGTCAGATGCAGTAGCTTTTTACTTAAAGCTTAGTATTTTAGTAGGTGGATGATAATTATACTTGATATACAGGTGCCTTACAGTTGGAAGTTTCGATCGAGCAAAAGTCTGCTGTCCTTGACCTAACTTTCATAGTTCATGGATCCCTTAGAAAACAAGTTTGTTTCTCACTTACTTATCATCAATTAATATGAGAACTTTATTTGGTACCAGTATACAAAATCATTGCATGGTGTACGTGTCCTTCAGACGGGGTTCACCTTAATTATCACCAGTTTATATGAGAACTTTATTTGGTACCAGTATATAAAATCATTGCATGGTGTACGTGTCCTTCAGACGGGGTTCACCTTAATTATCACCAGTTTATATGAGAACTTTATTTGGTACCAGTATATAAAATCATTGCATGGTGTACATGTCCTTCAGACAGGGTTCACCTTAATTTGACCTCATTTTTTGGATTAGTGAGTTTTCATGATTACTTTTGTTTCTTAGTAACTATAAAAAAAAGTAGGTCAACTATATTTGGTGAATTGAATCATTGCAAGTTGTACATGTCTGATAGTCATGACAGTGTTCATCTGACCTTGAATAGAATTTTCATGATACATATGTCACTGCATTTTCAAAGTTTTATGAAGAGGTCTGTTTCTCAAGAACTATAAGTAGGTCAACCATATTTGGTGTATATAATGATTTGTAGGTTTACACATATAAAAATAAGGAGATTGGGTATGACTGCTAATAAGACTATAAGTAAATAAGTAATGGGTCAATTTATTTCATATATTGTATGATTAAGTGAGGTGACCCTGTCAGTCTGTCATAACCTTTTCATTGATCATTGATAATGTTTTGTAAATGTGATACCTGTGTAAACTTTCATCTCAAAGGCTATCAACATAAATTATCTTTATTAAAACAGGTGAGATAGTTCATTGTATACACTCTTGTTGTATTTTTCTTTTTTTTATTGTATGATGTAATTTCTTTTAAAGTTGATAGATATACCATTCTTTCTGAAATATAGATGATATTTAAATAGGTTATGATAGCAATGTACCATGACCTATATATATATATTCTTGTTATAATTATATATTTGTTTCTGTAGAATTAATTTAATTATTGCAATCTCTTTGATCATTCATGTTCACCTCAACAAAGTTCAAGTGGAATATATTTCAGCACCTTAGCCTGGGCTTAGGGACCCATGTTACAGTACACACAGGGCTCATATTTTATAAACTGTATCCATGCTCTGAATGATACAACTTAATATTCTTCTACTGATTGTTATAACCATATTTTTGGCTGTTACCAAATTGGCTTATATGGTGATGTCTGGCAGGCTGGCAAGGAAAAGTGGGGACCTGTTTTGTGTAATCATCTCCTCCTACAATTCAGATCCCTCAAACATCACAGAGATATTGTTGAAGTTGTGTGCTTGCTAGAATTGAATTGTTTGAGAATTATTTTTCAACACTTGGATACATAATGATTTTTTCAGCAAAATTTTTTCAAAGACGGTTCTAGTTTTTTTTTCAACTAAGATCTTTGAACATAAAAAGTTTGCAAACCTTTTGAATTTGTGCACCTACCATTATGGTGCTGCATGAAGATTTTTTCTCAATTTCCCATCTTATATTTCCATGTGTTTAAATTTTCAGGATAGGCCATTCTCCATTGTTTAAAAAACATTCTTCATACCTCAACCATTAAAGTCTTTGATCCACTTTTTTTTATCAATCAATAGATGAGAATGCAAGCTTTGCAATTAAATTTATACTGCCCTAAACAATTTAAGATATAATGGCTATCCACAGCAATAGTTCATATTTTGGTTTATTTTTAATTTATATTGAGTAAATCTAAAAAATGGTATTTCTACATTTTCAAATTAATAAACTTTGAAGTAACTGGAATTCAAATAATTTTTCATTTACACTAGATCTACTAAAGAAATTATAATACTGTCTTTTCTTTATATATCATGATTGAATCAAAGATTACCAATATTAAAAAAAAATCTTAAAAATCAAGTTCGGTAAAAAAATGCTTAAAGCATGAATTTCCTTCACTTTCCCAAACCCATATAATATTTTTGTTAATTTTGAATGAAGTTAAACAAAATGTTCAGCTGTTGTGTTAACAGGGATAATGTATGTGTATAACATTACAATAGTCAGACTTATATTAAATTTGCATGATGATGAAAAATCCACCAAACCATATCTACCAATATAATTTTGCAGTTTACTAAAGTGTTGTCAATGTAGCGGCATTTAAATTTGCACTATTTACAATGAATTAATTCTTACACAGTGAAACCTGATTAAACTTAATATCTTTGAAACTTTAAAGATTTTGTTAGTATTAAACACGTGTTCATATTACACTGTGTGGTCAGTTTTAATTTAAAAAGAATAATTGATTAAATATCCATGTACAAGTGCTCAATTTACACCAGTTTATTGATTTGGTGTAGCAGGTTTTACTGTATATTTGAGTTATGTGAAAGGATTCATAGCACTTTTGATTACAGACTTGAAAATCAGAATAAGAAAGATCTGTACCTTTTACTAAAACAAAAACAAATATAACCTCGTTAAATAAATGACTAACTTCTACTAGTTTCATTCAAAAATAGGAGATATTCTTTGTATTTCCATACCCAAAACCAGACATAAAAGTTAAAATTGTTGTAATGCAAATAATTTTTGTGAGCAATTTATTCATGGGACTTTTACAAATAACAAGAATACAAATCATTGACTTTGTCTAGCTTATAGGTGTAATACCACCATTGATTTTCCCCTATTAGTCTTTGTTAAATTTGCACTTTTCAAAAAATTGTGCAGAATTTATCTTTGTTTCAAATAAAGAAATACTTGGCATGAGTAAAGTTTGATCCTGTCCAGTACTATAGAAAAAATTTCACATAACATTTCATTGCATATAAGAAAATAACCATCACTGGAAGTTAACCAATCAAATTTTCCCCCTTTTTTAACCTGTGTACAAGCTTTAGTAACCATGTAACCTCAAGTTTCCAAAATATTCTATAGAAACCCCAAATAAAAAAAAAATGGTGCTTTGAAATACCCAAGATATATGTTTATGACCCAGAAATGTTTTACTGCAATGAAATGTAGGATCAATTATCTACAACTGTCAAATTCAAGGGAATATTTTTTTTCGACCTATTTTCGTATGCAACCGGATGTGACGTACTATGATTTGGTGGTATTACACCTAAAGAAGACTTTTTTGTTAAATAAACTGAATGTGACTTTTTTCCTTTGTAATACTGGTTATTTCAAGCATTCCTGTCAAGTTTTGTCATAATCAGTTCAATAGTTTGAGAAAAATCTAGTATAATGTAAGACGACATCTACAGCGATTCGAGCTAAATTTCTTCGAAAAATCCAAACCAAGCCGCATCATGATAGAATATAGTGTGGACCAATAAATTATCAAATATTTATCTCATCTGCCTACAAACAGTTGAATATGATACAAAAGATGACTTTAGGATGATAAATACTACTAATGGACCTCTTTGTCTTCTTTATAAGGTCTCTTTTGGTCCATTTATACCTCTCATTTCCTCAAAATTTCTACTTTATAGGCCAATAAATAAAAATTTTGGGGTAACTTTCACTCATTTATGATAGAAATGTTATAATAAATGATTAATTGAAGTATTCAAGCTGAATGAACTATCCGTATAAAAGTTTACTGTCTCCAAGGAGGTTTCCATAAGTCCTTACGTAAAACTTAAATTTACGCCGCGTTCCAGAGAGGGACATAAAAAGCTTCTCTTTTGGTGAATAATTTGTTGTTACTGCTTTAAAAATAATTTCATTTACTTAAAACTATATATTTATTAAAGTATTTCTTAGGAAAAATTTTCTAGTATAGCAGAATATAAGAAAAAAGGAGAAAAAGCTCCCCAAAACTCTAAGTATGGCTTATTCTGTCAACTAATATTCATGGTAAAGTCCTATTTCAAGGAAATTTTCTCATAAAATGTGTTTTGGAGACTCAATCCACTCAGAATATTTCATTATTAGTAATATTTCACTTAAATAGCAAGAAATTTTAACACATGAGAGTACTCACAAGGTCAAAGGCGCATGTACAGCTTCCCATATTAGGTGTAATACCACCATTGATTTTCCCCTATTAGTCTTTGTTAAATTTGCACTTTTCAAAAAATTGTGCAGAATTTATCTTTGTTTCAAATAAAGAAATACTTGGCATGAGTAAAGTTTGATCCTGTCCAGTACTATAGAAAAAATTTCACATAACATTTCATTGCATATAAGAAAATAACCATCACTGGAAGTTAACCAATCAAATTTTCCCCCTTTTTTAACCTGTGTACAAGCTTTAGTAACCATGTAACCTCAAGTTTCCAAAATATTCTATAGAAACCCCAAATAAAAAAAAAATGGTGCTTTGAAATACCCAAGATATATGTTTATGACCCAGAAATGTTTTACTGCAATGAAATGTAGGATCAATTATCTACAACTGTCAAATTCAAGGGAATATTTTTTTTCGACCTATTTTCGTATGCAACCGGATGTGACGTACTATGATTTGGTGGTATTACACCTAAATATTACTGTTGTATGAATACTTCAATAAAGGTTCAAAATCAGTCAAATGAATTGCTGCAAGTCATTAGAACGTATTAAACACAAAGAAATATCTGTGAAAATATGTTGGTATGATAATTAAAATTTACACAATGAGAAAGAGTTTTAAAAGGAAACTTATCAATATTTACAGTATACATTTAATTTATATATAGAATTAAATTTTGTTACTAAAATTGTGTTCTGTTTTGATACAGTAAATCTGTTTGTTAGTGCACTGTGAAATCATAATTGATTTATTTGAATATTGAAATGACCAGATTGTATTTATAACCCGGAAATCAGATGATTTTTTGGTGTATTAAATTTTTGTATTGTTTGCCTTCAACCCCTTGGGGTAAAAACGTGCATTTCTTGATAGATTGAATTAAAATCAAGTATTAAAGTTTTGCTTTATTTTGTTTTAGTTATGAGAAGAGATTGTATTGACCATTAACACGATCTGATCCTATGACATTACCAAAGGGAGATTAATCTGTTAGAATGGACAGAGACAGATAGGAAGATTTTGTATGGAGTTGTTGGAGATGATGGTACCAAATTATTTCAGCAGATAAAATTGTTATAAATTTGTAGAATTGTTAAATAGAGCAAAAAATTACATTTTAATTCAAATCAATATGACTGACAGAAGTTCTTTAAAAAGGAGAGTATACAAGATTATGAAAGAAGAAAAAAATCATAATACAGTCAAACCTTGTCACTTTCTTCTTGTTCCACTGTAATTATATCTATGCATTGTGAACCTAAATTCAAATGTTATCTCATTTAAGATAATTTTTCTCTGGTTCTGAGAGTGACCTTTATAGGTTTGACTGTATATATGAATAAATACTGATTTCAATAGATTTATTTGCAATACAGCATATGATTTCATTCCACTCTGTAAAAGTTCCATTTTATGTTTGAATTGATTTGTAAAGTTTTAACAATTTGTTTCTTTTATGATTGTTATCAATTTGAATACTATAAAAGAAAATTCAGAAATTTTTGCATACATTTATTATGGCAATTTTTGAAAAATGGACAAAAAAAGAGATTAATTAAATTCTGCATACAATCAATGCCATCAATATTTAAATTGCGATGTTTTAATTTTGCAGTACCTATTCAATCCAAATTTTTGCAATAAAAAAAACATCACAAAAATTTCTGAATTTCCAGAACTCAAACTTCAGTATAGAATATTTACATTTATATAAGGTACTGTATAATTTTGATAACAGGAGAGTATGTGAGAGAGAGTAGAATTGTACAACATTGTCTGTGATCAAACATTTTATCATTAAATTTGTGTTTTAAAAAAACCTGTAGGGAGATGCAATATTATGATATTATTCATTTATCATTTTTGATTTCATTATAAAAAGAAGAAAATCACAAATTTGATATTAACTAGTAATCCACTTTGAATATTAAGTGGGTGGGTGTCTCATGAGTTTTGAGACACAATTTCAGGGTACATAATACAGGAATTATTTTTATATCACAACTTTTCAATCAAAAAGCCATTTTTTCAACAATTTAGAAGCCAAAATAATATCTTAGGTGAAGTGGTTTTATACATATATATATATATATATATGAATTTATTGGAATTAATGAGGGTATACAACACAAAGGTGGATAACTCTTCATAAGTCATAATAATAATTGATAGATTTGGAAAATTAAAGCATCTTATATACTCAAACTGTAATTTTCAAAGCAGATTTCTGTTGAATTGGCTATTGGATATTTATTATGGAATCTAATGGCAAAGCTTCAGGCAACATACAATATCTTTGGAAGACTCAAATCATTTTTGAAAGACATGAAGTTCATTAACTATGAAAACTTATTGTTTACATGTTAGTAGAGGTAGAATTTATATATAAAAATAGAAAGCAATATCATTAAATTTGCACTTCTGTCCTTGCTCTCGGGGCAAGACCAAATAATTTTGGTTTCTTGTGGTATTCAATATCTGCTCAATATTGTGATTAGACATAGCTTTGTATGAACAGTTCATTAAATTGTTATATCATGAAAACAGATTTTATTTTGGGGATGACCATTAACAATAAATCAATGGGTGCAAAATTAACCTTGGAATAAATAAGAAAGAAATGTTAATTAAACTTACATAATAAAAATATATGTACTACTTAATCTAATTTATATGGAGGAAGGATCTCATTTATTTATTACATGAACCAAGCTTCATTTAAAATGTACAAGCCAGTTCTAAATATACCAAGTAAGTACCAAATGCATTTACAGACTAGAGAGTTCTGTTTGATTGTTAGAATTTAGTATCAAACTTCTGTGTCCTTTTCCTAGCCTTTAAATTAAGTCTACCAATCAGATTGCTTCATTCTCTTCTGAAAGGAATAGAGGTTCAGGATGGCCTTTCAGTTATTTTTTCTTGTCTGTGCCTTGTAAACATTGTTATATTTTTGTATGAGTGCCATTCTGTATAACAAGACGGATCTCACAAAACTAAGTATAGATATTATGGTATAATTTTGTCCATTCAATGCCCAAACAATAACTTAAGTTTCTTAGACTTGTAATTGTGATACTATATTCATGCAATGTTAGGGTTGATTCAAATAAAACTTGGTTTTGATGCAGATGTTGAAATTTTGTCTATATTCAATAGTTGTGGGAAATCGGTTATTTAATGCATTATCATGTTCAGAACATTTTAAAAAATGGTTGGAATTATTTGTTCTTATGTTATGAAAATTTTGTATTTTAATTAATGTTCTTTGAAAAAAAAGCTAAATAAAAAATTTCAATTGTTTTACCAGTGGTGTAACGCATACATGTATCATATGCATATTTTTGCATTATTATTCTTGTATTTATTAGTGTCAATGATTGACAACAGATACAAAAAAGATTTACAGATCAATTAACGTGTACATCTAGCAGAATATTGATAACAAAAAAGTGAAGGTCTTTATTATTTTGAAATTCATCCTGTCTCATTTTCTGCCTTAATAAGAAAATCATCCTGAATATGCATAAAAGTATTGCCACTGGTCGTAAAGCAAGCAACAATCTATCAGTTTAAAAAAAACAACTTTATTTCTGAATTATAACTTCTTATAACTTCCTCCATGTCATTTTTTCATAATAGAATAACAGCTTGGTGATTTTTACTCAGTACCTATAGCCTAGTCCAAATATTTACAGTGTTGTATACCTACCTCTAATTTTATCACCCACAATGTAATAAATAGTTTGTCATCTTGTCTTATTAAAACATTGAACCAACATATAGGTTTGTACTAATTGTTGGATACATTGAACCAACATATATATTTGTTTTAAATATTCAAATTTTTTCTTCAAACATTGAACTGACATATATGTTTATAGAATTCTGTCGTCAGTCATTGAACCAACATATATATATATATATTCATTGTTGAATTCTTTCTTCAGCCATTGAACCAACATATATATATATGTATTCATTGTTGAATTCTTTTCTTTTTCAGTCATTGAACCAACATATATTTGTATTCATTGTTGAATTATGTTGGAATCCTACTAGAGTGCTATTTACATTCAGTGGAATCCATTTTTTTTATCATGACAATAAACAGATTCCAAATCATTTCATTTACCATAGAAATACATGTATATTTAAAAATTATTTTCCCTCGTAGAAATCAACAGTCAATTAAAATGTCAATGCCTATATATACCAGTTAGATATGGAAGATGTCTTCAATGTTACAGAAAACAATTATTAATTTGCAACATAACATTTAATTTGAATGATGGAAAGGTATTATGCAACTTCTGAACTTTTAATTGATATATTATATGTACTAATGTAAATATTGAAGTATATCCAATTGAACACAAATCAAGAAAGTAGTTGCAAGTAATACCACAGCTTGATTGCTTATAGGAAAATGGTATTGATAAGCTTATATAAATGTACCTCAAAATGCAATAACATATTTTTGAATTTTTTTTTCTTGTTTTAGAATATCATATCAAAGCATAATTTCATTTAAAAAACTAATAATTGGAATCCATGAAATGGATGAAGATTTATTTAATTGTTTACTTTCATATGGTAACTTATGTATACTTAAAACTTTTGTATAACAGTTCATCATTTATATTATTTTACTATGAATTTTCTTGACTCTGGGGGATGGGAGATTTAGAGCTTGATTTATGTATAGCCATTTGTTTATTGTAAAACTGTGTTTTGATGTTTATGTACTTGGGTTGCTGTAGGATCAATTTTTTACCCTTCAATACATTTTATTCATGTTATATATGTGAAAATATAGTATGAGTAAATAACTAAAAGACACCAAGGAGGTCACACACAGTCTTCAATAATAGACGTGCATATACAAAATGTCAAGCTCTAAATTGTACTGAGTCTTGAAAAATGTGAATAAATAAAACAGACTGTCATGTTTCATTTTAAGTGGCTTCATTTGAAATTATTTGAGATGGAGCCTAATGCACAATTCTTATGCTGAACATTATTTGCATTTATTTGATTAAGTTAACATAAGCTTATAAAAGCAATTACCCATTATAACGTTAAATTTATATACCAGCAAACACTACTCATTTCATGAATTGATGAACTGTTTAATTGAACTTTAAAAGTGCTATGTTATTTAGAACAGCAATTTAAGTTGTTCATAAGTGTATATTCCATTTACAGTATACATATATTGTTTTGTATTGTACATCTATATTTTGTCAAAAGTTTTATGTTACTGTGTTCTTGATAAAATAAAGGTTTATAAAGTCTTTAAAGTTTATATTACACCTCAAGAATCCTAACAGACCCAAGGATATGTCTGGTAAAACTCATAAGTCTGGCATACTTTTTCATATTAATTGAGATGTCGGATTCTTGGCAATATCCTTATAAACCATTCTCTTCACTTTTTGGTGCAGATAAATGACGTTAAGATAGATATTTCCCAGTCTGGATGTCAGGCAAGTTTTAAGGCATCCTCCATGTAAGTTCTGTTTCTAATGTGTTGATTATGATGCTCCCTAACGTGAACTAAGGCTCCAGCTCCCTCAGACAAAGTCTTACAGTTCTGGTTGTTTGGTTTGAGATATTTTGATTATATGATTCTTCCTTATGAAAACCAATGCTCCACCTCTCATAGACGGAGTTGTAAAAGTTTGGTTATATTGAAGCTCTGTTGGTTCTGATTCTTCCTTACATAAACCTAGGCTGCAATACTCTCAGACAAAGCTGTACAGTTCTGTTTGCTCTTATAAAGTTGTGTTGATAATGATGCTTCCTTACATAAACAAAGACACCAGGTACCACAGACGGAGTTGTAAAAGTTTTGTTGTTCTGTTTTAAGTTGTGTTGGTTAATATAGTTCATTATGTAAAGTTAGGCTGCAGTTTCCTTAAACAAAGTTGTACACTTTTCATTTTGTCTGTTATTGTATTGGTTATTAACCTTCCAAAACGTATTGGTTTTGAGTATTTCGAAGGGGTTAGGAATATGACCGTTGTTTTCCATTCATTTGATGTGTTTGAGCTTACGATTTTGCCATTTGATAAGGGACTTCCGTTTGAATTTTCCTTGGAGTTCGGTATTTTTTTTATTTTAATTTTTATAAGATATGTGCAGGCAAATCAATACTTGCATTAAGTTTACAGTTCAACACGGTTCACTGGATGTAAAATATGTGGGGTGCTTCTATTCCAATTGGACGTGTTAGTGTTGCTACACATCTTACATAACCCATTAGACGCCAACTCAGCAGATACCCTGTTTTCTATTTCATAATTTCTTTGAGAGCAATTTTTATGTTTTTTTTTCACATATCCGTTCTGGTAACATAAGAAAACATTTGTTGACCTTTAATTTGGGATAACCTGCATTTGGGTACTAATCTAATCTAATATAACTTATCTTTAAACCTCCTTTGTAGAGGAACCATATTTTCATATGTAGAACAGGTGCTCTCTTTATATACAGTGCTGCTTCTCCTTCCACCATTGGGCATCTCAAGATCAAAATTTCGAGCCAAAGACATTCGACGTAAAAAAGTATCAAGACAAGAAGGGTCTGAATAGGACACTCAACATGGTGTAAAGCCTACCCGAGGGAGGTAAACAGAACACAAAAAAGGGTGTATAGTCTATACGAGGGAGCTAAACAGACCAAACAGAAGTGTGTATGTTTCCTGAAAGACCTTATGGTCTACGTAAGAGAGCTTGTGGTCTACCTGAGGGAGATAAACAGAACAGACTAAAGTGTGTATAGTATACCTGAGGGAGGTAAAGAAAACAGACAAAAGTGTGAATATTCTACCTGAGGGAGCTTAACAGAACAGACAAAAGTGTGTATAGTGTACGTGAGGGAGCTGAACAGACCAGACAGAAGAGTGTATGTTCTTCCCGAAAGAGGTTATGGTCTATGTAAGAGAGCTTATGGTCTACCTGAGGGAGCTAAACAGACCAGCCAGATTGTGTTATTATTTTATCTTCAATATTACCCAGGCCATGTGATTTTAATCATTCTGAATTGTTCGTCATCAATTTTAACAGTGTACTAAAACAGTTGGCTTCCTCTCTTACTAATGTCAGATACATGCCATGTGAGAAGACTTTTTATAATAGAGTGAGGAAGCCAACTAACACTTTGTTTTCAATTGACAAATTGCATTTGTCCACCACTGGTCTTAATAAGGTTTTTAGCTTTATAGCTAATACTCTTGCACATCTTTAAATCCTTTGAAGTACAATGAATTTTGATTGTGTTTGAAAAAATTGAATAAGAATTTTAAATTCAAATTTACTAGTAAATTGAAGCTTATTTTTAGGTGAAGGTTTACTCTTAATTTCCACATGAGAGAGAGTAGAATTTTGATCCTGTTTTTTCTATTATTGTAGAGGGTTTACACTGTTGACTTTATCATGCATCCTTGTTACTACAATGGTTAGTACACCTGTCCTTGTGATGGGGAATCGAAGTTCGAGTCCTCGACTTGGATTATAGAAGATGGTGTAGACTTACTCTCTAATTATTTTAGAATTATTATAAAAGGTGCAATTTGCAGTTTCTGAGATTTGTTTGTTTGGCGGACCTTTGGTTTGGCGGGTATGAAATTTACATTTCATTTGTATCTCATAGAATTTTTATTTTGTTATGCTTCATTCTTTATATTTATTAAGATACTTCTTAGTAGTTCTTTAATTCAGAGTTTATTTGTCAGTTATAATCTATGATCACATGGTATTGCAATTGTATTATAATCTTGACATATGTATATATTATTATGACTATCTGCAAAGCCTAAATAAAAGTTTTTATTTAAACAGTATTTTCTTCTGAATTAATTTGTTAATTTTTGATTAAAAATGAATAATTATTGAAGAATCAGAAAAATAATTTAGTGAAGTGGTAAATGGACAATTGGTCTCACTTCATTTAACAGTGAACACATCTCTGGTCAAGGTTTAGTTTGGACTGACTTCTAATTTAATTTAAACACGTTTTTTATTGGTCACGCAGTACAGTAATTTATATTGGATAAAAAATTCAGTTTAAAAGTAGAACTCACTACTGATTTTCATTTTTCAGAAACACCAGAAAACAGGTAGTCAACATTTTAATAATTTAGAATTTTTATGTTTAAATATGTCTTAGTTTGTCGTTGAAACTTCTATCAACGTAGTTAATTTGTTAATGAACATTGTGTTTCGTCGTTTGTTCATTTTTCAAATTTGTAATCCAGATTGTGTTATTATTTTATCTTCAATATTACCCAGGCCATGTGATTTTAATCATTTTTAATTGTTCGTCATCAATTTTAACAATGTACTAAAACAGTTGGCTTCCTCTCTTACTAATGTCAGATACATGGCATGTGAGAAGACTTTTTATAATAGAGTGAGGAAGCCAATTAACACTTAGTTTTCAATTGACAAATTGCATTTGTCCACCACTGGTCTTAATAAGGTTTTTAGCTTTATAGCTAATACTCTTGCACATCTTTAAATCTTTTGAAGTACAATGAATTTTGATTGTGTTTGAAATTTGAATAAGAATTTTAAATTCAAATTTACTAGTAAATTGCAGCTTATTTTTAGGAGAAGGTTTACTCTAAACCTCCACATGAGAGAGAGTAGAATTTTGGTCCTGTTTTTTCTATTATTGTAGAGGGTTTACACTGTTGACTCTATCATACATCCTTGTTAGTACAATGGTTAGTACACCTGTCCTTGTGATGGGGGATAGATGGTTCGAGTCCTCGACTTGGATTATAGAAGTTGGTGTAGACTTACTCTCTAATTATTTTAGAATTATCATTTAAGGTGCAATTAGCAGTTTTTGAGATTTGTTTGTTTGGCGGACCTTTGGTTTGGCGGGTATGAAATTTACATTTCATTTGTATCTCATAGAATTGTTATTTTGTTATGCTTCATTCTTTATATTTATTAAGATACTTCTTAGTAGTTCTTTAATTCAGAGTTTATTTGTCAGTTATAATCTATGACCACATGGTATTTCATTTGTATTATAATCTTGACATATGTATATATTATTATGACTATCTGCAAAGCCTAAATAAAAGTTTTTATTTAAACAGTATTTTCTTCTGAATTAATTTGTTAATTTTTGATTAAAAATGAATAATTATTGAAGAATCAGAAAAATAATTTAGTGAAGTGGTAAATGGACAATTGGTCTCACTTCATTTAACAGTGAACACATCTCTGGTCAAGGTTTAGTTTGGACTGACTTCTAATTTAATTTAAACACGTTTTTTATTCCTCACGCAGTACAGTAATTTATATTGGATAAAAATTTCAGTTTAAAAGTAGAACTCACTACTGATTTTCATTTTTCAGAAAAACCAGAAAACAGGTAGTCAACATTTTAATAATTTAGAATTTTTATGTTTAAATATGTCTTCGTTTGTCGTTGAAACTTCTAATAGCGTAGTTAATTTGTTAATGAACATTGTGTTTGTCGTTTGTTCATTTTTCAAAACCCTCCCTCCCTTTCTCTAAATGTGGAATAGGTTTGTATGAGGCGGGTATGAAATTTATATTTCATTTGTATCTCATAGAATTTTTATTTTGTTATGCTTCATTCTTTATATTTATTAAGATACTTCTTAGTAGTTCTTTAATTCAGAGTTTATTTGTCAGTTATAATCTATGATCACATGGTATTTCATTTGTATTACAATCTTGACATATGTATATATTATTATGACTACCTGGAAAGCCTAAATAAAAGTTTTTATTTAAACAGTATTTTCTTCTGAATTAATTAACAAAAATAAACAAAGTACTACTAGCAGTTACTGACATGCCAGCTCCAGACCTCAAATAAACTGATTGAAAGATTATGTCTTCATCATATGAAAATCAAGCACAATCTCTCCCTTTAGGGGTTTAGTATCGTACCATCATAAAATATACGAGAACATAATCCGTATCATGCCAACAATTGGTTTTAGAATAAATGTGTTTATTTCCGATGCAAAGACCCTATGAGTGAATCAATATTAATTCCAAAAAATGCCATCTTTAATGACCTGATAACAGTATCGTAACTATATCCCTTCGGTGTCTTCCCGATTGTCCCACTTTTTTGAAATTACAGGTAAAAAAGTTATGAAATTTTGTGGGACAATCGGGAATATGTTTGTGGGACAATGGGGAAGTTTAAATGTGGGACGATCGGGAATTGTTTTGATAGTGATTAATTTGTTTTTATAGTATGTAGCAGTTAATTACAGGTTTCTAATCAATGTAACTTA